CTGATTTATTGTCTTCTAGCATTAAGCCATCTTGTGTAGCTATGATTTTGTGTCCCTAAATCCTAAAATATTCTTTTCCTGGACCTTCAAAATTTGATGTATTCTCAACTGGTAAAGTCTGAAGATCAGCAAAGCTGTAATAGCCAGTATGAAGACTTGGAATATCTGCTGAGTGATGACAGCAGGCCCCTGAAGATTTCAGAAATAGTCATTTACACAACTCCCCTCAAATTTTAAACAAAATTGTTTATTTTTCTGAATTCTCTTTCCACTCACATCAAAAATGTTCCCTCATCCCTCCTGACTGTATAAAAAAGAATGTTTCACTACTGTTACTTGAAGTTTATTTCAACTTCAATGAAACAAGTCTGTATTCTGAATATAAGGAAATCAAGATTAACTGTTTCTGAATCTTCATGATTGCTTTCTCTTATCAAAAGAGAGATGGAACTAGCCCTGGATGGAGAAAATTGTAATAGCTTTAGATGTGAAAGACGTCAAATAATTCAGTATTCACAAATGTTTCCTAATTCTAAGCCAAGAAATGAATATATAAAGCCAGTTGCTAAAAATATGACATTTGTTAGAGAGTACTATTTTTCACTATGGAATGACTAACATTAAAAAAAAAAGGAAAAAACACCTACTTATACTCATCACAAAGCCTCCTACACTGCAGCAACCCTGACTTTCCTGAGCTGAGTGTCTTATTGATGAAACAAAAAAAACATTTTTAGAATTCTTCTAAGTGCCAACTCTCCTATTTGATTGAAATTGTAGACTAATGTACTATGAGACTTGGTTTAAGACCTCAGCATTTTTATACCAACCACTTGTTTAAACACCTCTGCATTTCTCTTTTTTGCTAGACTATCATTTCTCACCATGCAATATTTTTTTAATGACCTAATTGTATTATTCAGGGAAGCTTTTCCTGGCCTATCTAGGGCAAGTTTCAAGTTCTTGGTAAATGAAATTTTATTTAAAGAGATACAATTAAGTAACAGTGACTGGACCACATTTAATTAACTCAAACAAGTACAATTATATTTATTAAAAAGTTGTTTATGCATCTCAAGATTATGCAGTTTATAATTTTTGCACCTTATAAAATGATAATCAAGAAAATATTCCGGAAGCATACTGTTTGTATTCTGCAAGCAATGGAAAAATTTCATTTTAACTTCTAGCCAGTCATCCCATTAAAGGAACAGTCCTGACAAATAAATAAATTAAAGCTGGGATCAAATAAGACTGCAAAAATTATACTGTACTCCTGATGTGTTTTATGTTTTTGATCTCAATGCAAATTACAATTATCTCCAAATATATGCTTAGCATCTGAAAACATAATTTCTTGAAACTCCTATTTCAAAAGCTGAGTAAAAGACTAACCAGTCTTATGTATTACTTAAACATAGGCATTTATTCAACCTAATATTTCTTATAAATACTACAAAAAACAAATTTATAAGTGTCAGCTCCGAAAATTACTAGTGCATAAGCTATGTTGTTTAAAAGAGGGCAACCACAGAGCTAACATAAAAGGGAAAGCTACTATCTTAAATATCAATTACGAAAAGTCCTCTCTAACTCAGAGATATTCAAAGGGTGGTTTCTCAAATATCAATATTCATTAACACCCACATTTTCAAATCAGTAACCCCTATTTTGGGTTGTTTGATGTTGTTTCTTCTTTAAAACAACACCAGGGCAAAATCCAGAGTAAAGTTTATACATTTATTGGAGAAGCAGATAGAGAGCAAAGGGAAAAGAACAGATGAAAAGTCTTTGGTTGAGAACTCTCTACCTTTTCAACACTGATCTGTTTCATGAGGAGCTTGTGTGCCAAATAGAAGATGAAACATCCTCACCTTCATTAGCAGGTTTTATACATATATTTTAGTTTTCCATCAGTAAATCTTTTAATGTGCATATTATCTTTAGTTTTATGATAATGACAACAATGGCATAATACCTAATTATTGGAGTTTATCTTTAGTTTGAAAACTTGCAAAAGACTGTTTACTGAACAGCATATAAAAAATCAACGTCCACACATCCAGCATAGCAAAAAATATATTCTTTGCTAAAATCTCGTAAGGAGAAAATAGTTTCCCACAAAAAAGTTTAAAAAATTAGCAAAATCTTCCTTTCCTAAAATTGAGGGAAGCAGTTTCACCTAATAATGGCACTAATGATCTAAAACTAAGTTAAATGGTGTTCTCATAATAATACGCACATTATTTATTTATCAAATCCCAGTGAACATTGTTTTTCTTTCCATTTATTTAAAGCGTCACAGAAAGTAAAGTTTTTATATGGATATGCCTTAACATAAGCATCCTTGGACCACAATAAGGAAAGTCAACATGCAAATAATGTAAAAAATAAGAACCCCCAGCTTTTATCTCCCCTATGACCACTGACCACCATGGAGGTGTCCTTCAGTAAGAAGCCACCAGAAAATAACTTCAACTGGAATTCTCTAGAAAAGCCAAGCCAATGGATTCTGCTGGTAAAAGGGAATCCAGACAAGTTATTCAACATGTAGTACACCCATCTCTAGAAAGTGTATATATTCCCGAATGTGTTTCAAAGCCTCCATGTTCCAGAAGCATAGTCAAACCTGACAACACAAATTTACACCCAAACTGGAGGGTCTCAAACATTTTCGAATAAGGCTCGACTACATTTCCTCTTTTGCCAGTTCTGACTCCTAACAGTGGCTTGTTCTTGACATAATTGCTCAAAAACCTCAACAGATCTTTGCCTTGAACATTCCTTCATTTCTTCCCAGTCTTTGCCAATATACCTCCTCCCACCCAAGCTCTTCCATTTCCTACGCTATGTTGCTTGGCTGCAAAGTGTATCACATTCTGGCTGTGAGAATCTCTAAGCTCATGCATAGTTTTTGAGGTTAACTGGGATCTTCTACTAAATTAGACAGAAGCTTCCAGAGTAGGTTTGCTCCTTTGCCGATGAACAATTTAGTGGTGCCAAGATTCGGGGAAGGGGGGAGCTAAGCTAGTAAAGTACTAATGGGATATCAGGGAAATGATCACCCCAAACCATTTTCCCTCCCATTTCTCATAAGAAAAAGCTTTCTTCTGTGCCATACCCAATATCTAACAAAAAAATAAATCTGGATGACTCTGTCTCTGCATGAGATACACATTACAAACGTTCATCTGCTTTCTTTTGCATCTCAAATAAAGCCTCCCCCTCTCTCAGGAGACTGGGATACCTGGGAAAAGCTGCAAGGGATCTTTTCAAACACAAAGGCAATGTATTCTGCCTTGGTATAGCACAGAAAAAATAGCAGAGCTTTCTTCCAGTCCAAGGTCTATTAACTGTGACCTTGGCCCTACCCCAGAAACTTATTGTTCCCCAACTTTAACTGGAGCAGCAAATATGCCTCCTCTCTACTTCAGTTTTTGTTTTTGTTCTTTCAACAAAACCAGAGTCTTAAATGAAGTGGTGTCTAAGTTCTGACCATCCCGCCCTACTCAGCCTTCATCCAGTCTGTGGCAGGGAAGAGTCCACAAAGTGCAGCCACAGTTCTGCCCCTCCTTCCTTTTCCTTCTATGCAATTTGGAGCACCAGGAGATCTGGGGTCCACATTCTGGGAGAACTAGGCTCCCGGACTGGACATGCTCTGTGACCAGGGCAGACAGCCGGCTGCTGACAGCCTTTTGCCCTCTACAGGGGATTTCTCCAGCCCTCTCTTCTTACAGGGCAAATCCATTTTCCGTGACATTTCCAAGCAAACCTCTACTATCAAGTTTCCCCAGCGGGTAGGAGGAGTGTCTACAAGTCCTCACCGGAACTGAGTCCATCGAAAATGAGTCTAGTAATAAAAATAAGATAAAATAACCCTCTGAAACAATACAGTCGAGTGTAGAAAATGCGTGGAGAATAAAAAGAAAAGATGCTCCCAGCTTCGCCCCCTTTCCCGCTTTCTCATTTACAGTGAGCGGGACATTTAAATTATTTTGTACTTTGTTGATTTTTTTAAGGATTTTTTTTTTTTTGGTCTTTTTAAAAACGGCACCGCAGGCAGCGGTGCCCACAGGCAGAGGGGCAAACTCTCAGTTTGGATGCCCCTGCCAGCCATCCCCTCGCGGCCAAGCTGGGGATCCGGGAGGGAGGAGCAGGTGCGGAGAGGGTCCTCGGCTAAACTGCTTGTCGGTGGCGCGGCTTGGGGCCGGGACAGTGCTCGGCAACACAGTGGGGGAGGGACACCCGGAGCCTCCCGGAGCCTCCGCAGGTGCCACCCTCTCCTCCTCCCCACTCCCCATCCCCGCTCCGCGCAGGGTGCCTGGGGCAGGCTCGGTCTTTGAGCTGGCGTAGGGAGGCAGCCGGAGAACCTCTCTCTCCAGTACCCCCCCCCAACCCCTACCCAGAACACGAGTTCGCGCCCGGGGCAGTACAACTGTGGCTGAGACCGCCTTAGCGGTCGTGGGAGAAAAGGGTCTCCTAAGTGTTGGAATGAAAACAAGCCGTGGCCACCGACGCCTCAGTACCCGGCATCTCCGAGCGGAAACAGGCTGTCCTCTGGCGGGCGAGCGGGCGGGGGAAGAGGAGGCAAAGTGGCGGCGCAGCTCGGGCAACTTTGCCGGGCAGCCTGGCGACAGCGGGCAGAGACTGCTGCCGCCGCTTCCCCGGCGAGGCTAAGGAGCACTCGGCGCCCGGTCTTGCACCCAGAGTGCTGCCGCAACTCACCAGGAGGAGGACCGGGCGACTGTTGTCGGGAGCGGGAGGCAGGCAGGGAGCCCAGCCCGAGAGAGCAAGCCGAGCCCCAGAAAGCCGCCCTCCACGTCCTCGGCCCTGCGAGGGGCGCCTGCGCCCGGGTACGCTGCACCCCAAATGCCCACTCGCCGTCCCACAGGGCCACCAACTATTCTAGCGGTGCGAGGAAGAGGCAGCGGAAAAATGAGAGCAAGAGAGCGGGCGAGCGCGAGAAAACAGGACCGACGCCCGCCCGGAGGATCACGTACCTTTAGCTCCTCAATGTCCAGGTTTGTTGATCTGTCCATGGAGCGAAACTAAAGGAAGTGGAGAGAAACCGGGCAAGTTGAACCAAAAAACAATCTAGTCTTTTAGTTTCCAGCCTAAACTCAGCTTTATCCTCCTCCAAGCCCTGGCAGCTTCTCTCAGTCTCATTCTCCGTGATCACGCCGCCTCCACCGGTTAAAAATAATAAAAATAAATAAATAATAATTATAATTCAGTTTGTTTTACTTCCTGAAAGACTTAGTGACAGGTGATCTTTACCGCGGTGCAACACAGCTCAGTCGAATCAAGCGGGGGGCCGGGAGGGGGGGTAAGATCCACTCTATTTAAGATTATTTCTTCTTCTGCAATAAGCTTAGAAACCAGCGAATTGCTGCATCCCAGGAAAAAAAGCTGCTTCCCTGGACAGCATCATGCGGCAAATTTCAAGCAAATGTGTTCAAACTGAAGAGAAGAGTATATGATAAAAGCCTTCCTCCGTCAGGCTTACTCTGGTAGCTAATTTAGCACACTGTGAGTCCCAAGCATTAGCAATGATCAATTTCCCTGGCAAGATCACCAAATCCCCGAAGTCCTGCATAGACTTAAAAATGTCTTGCAGCTAAGAGGTATTCTCTCAGTGGGGAAAAGAAGATAATAAAGTCTGAAGGGAACGATCTCCTTTGAAGGTTATGCTAAAAAGAGTTGAGAGAATAAGAGGTGGATCCTACAGAGGAGAGAAAAGAGGGAGAGAGAGAAAGCCAGAGAGGGAGAGAAAAATTTTCCTCCTGCTTTGCTGTTTTACTGGCCTTCACCACCAGGTGACTGACTTCACTTCTCTCTTCCCACTGCCAGCGCTAAGGGGATTTCTCTCAACTGTCAAAAAGCAACATTTCCTCTCCAGACAAATACTGTGCTGCTGGGTCTTAAAGACTGCCCTCTGCCCGGAATCCAGTAGGTGAGGAGCATTTTAATTCATTTCACATGTTGCCTCATCTCGTTCCTGTAGATCTGGGAGGAACATGCATGTGTGGATCATATGCGTGTATTCACATGTACTCACTTTACATCTCTCCTGCTTTCAGTGTCGGGGAGCTTGAGAAAGACTTTTAAAGAAAGTGACAAATAGAAATAAAGAAAATTTCTCCTACTGATGCTTCTTACCATAAGCAATCCTTTACTGGAAAATTATTCTTTAAATAGAAGCTGAGAGGTCAGTACACTTGTAGGGTGTAGATTTGGCGTCAAGGCTCATTTTTTTTTCATTTAAATGTCTTTTAGTGTAAAAGCTTGACTTTTGAAGGGATTTAAACATTCTCCTCTTGTTTTATTATGGCACACAAACTAGTGAATGTTAAAAATGTTTTTGGATTCAGAAAAAGTGCTGAATAAATAATTACCTTTGTTTCAAAAAGAAATCTTTTTTTTATTATTATTATTATCTGCTTCAGCCACATGGTCTACCTCCACCTGCCATTTCTGCTGCCATGGACTCTTTAACCCTGGCTCTCATCCCTCAGTCAGGACAGCTCTCTCTCCCTCTTTGCAAGTTTAACCCTCAGACATCAGACTCAAGTCACCTCTGGAGAGAGGATTTTCCTCAAATGATACCCCTTCTCCTCTGTCATCTCTTCATAGCTGTCACTTCAATTTATCATTATTCAATGTAGCATTTGTTACCTGTTTGACTCTTCCAGTAGACTATAGGCTCTGGCGGGCAACTTTTATCTTTTTCACCAATATGTTCTAAGGGTCTAGCACATAAGTGCACAAATATGCCTGAAACAGATAAATGTGGGTGGGAAGAATCTTTTACAATTATTATTCTAATATCTAAAAACCTCCATGACCTCCTCCCCACTCAACACGCAAATACCAGTTTTTCCCCTCCTAGTCTGCAGCTAAACCCAGTGCTCTCAGCTTTATGATTAAGCATGCAGTTCTTTAGTTTAAGCTTATTCTATTCCACAAGCTTATCAATACTACCTTTCTCTCAAACTTCGACTTGCGCCTACAGCTTTCAAGGTTAACATCAATTAGTGGAGCTGAACATAAACTTCTCAAAATAAATTTTCCATGTTCATTTTACATGATGTATGATGAGAAATAATAAGGCTCCAGGTTAAGAGTAAATGAACTTATATAAAATGTATAGCTCTTAAAAAGCCTCTTTTCTAGACATTATCAGTAATGCACCATGAAAATACATAATTACATGTTTTATTTAAATTCTAGTTCTCCCATATAGAATAATTTTATATTCCCTATCAATCTGTTACTGCCTAACTTCAGCAAGTTGAATATAAAAAGCAAATTTATTTTGAGCATATTAAAGTGATACTATCTTTGAGATAACTTTAAAATTTACAATTGTGAAAACAAAAGTCTAAGAAAGATAATTATTAATGTTTAAACACTATTCAGAAAGGGAAGACTCAAGATAGTTTCTTAGTATGGCCTAAAATTATGGTTGGAAGAAAAGGTGATTTACTATTTAATTATAAAGGCTAAGTTTAACCCCATTTTTCAAAAGTTATATATAGTCATGCATATAATGACTTTAATTCATCTTTAGTAATACAAAATTATATCCACCATGTAATGTTGACCAGACTGGCATTATATGAGCTACAGAAACTATAGGTGATTTCCAAATCAGTTCCAAATTTGGGCCTAATTAAATGTCTACAGAGCAAGAGACTTCCAAGTATTTTACTATTTCATGAATTCCCATGCAAATTAATTAGGCTGAATAGTCCTAAAATTAAAAAATGAAATTTGATCACAAAAATATGGTTTACTGAAACTATTTATATAACCTTTCAAGGCAATCAGGATTCAACTCCACTTCAACTGACACATGACTAAGTGAGACAATGGTCAGAAAATGCAGTAACTCTAAATAAACTTGAAATAGGGCAATGGAAGGATTGGGAAGTGAGCTGAGGAAAGGAATATTGTCTAGATGCCCTGAATCATGATTTCAAGAGGAAGACAACTACCCATGGCTGGTACATAGCAGGGTATGTAAAAGGAGCAAGATTCAATTTTAACAAAGATGTGTAATTCACAGGCAAAGTGCAAATAGCAATTACAACCCCCAAGCAGGGGAAGGCAGTGTGGACCTGCCAGTCACGAGATGTTACATATCAGGATCATTTGGCCATGGATACATTCATTCATGAATGTCATAAGGTATCAAGGCAAATATACAAATGCCACTATGAGCTTCTTTATGTTAACTAATTTACAGAAATGGGAAATTTATAGAATACTTTTTAATCCCAGTAGAAAATATTTTTATTCATCATATAAGGTTTAAAACCACTTATAGAGTTTTCAATTTTGTCAGCCTCTATATTACCCTCTCCCGACTCTCTAGACAAATTTACCATTTTTATGCTTTTATTTTTATTTTCTTAGCATCCTACACAGTAAGATCATGTTTTATTTCAACTTTCTGAAATTATTAAAGGGATAAGTAATGTATTATTATAATTCATTATAACAGAGTAATAAATTACTTACATACTTGCCCCTAGTAGTTTCTAATGATCACTATTTATATTCATATGATGTAAACACTTGCCATAGAAAAGGTTTATTTCTCAAAAATGTTATTTTTCATTCCATGCTGCTTTTAAAAGTAAGTACTGGAAAATATGGGAATATAAAATAGTAGGTGGTTTTCATTCTTATACTAATAAGAGATGTAATTGTTTATGTGTGAATAGATGAAAAATAACAAATTAAGTGCACTATTAACATTTTGATGTAGTCAAAAGGATATCCTTTGGCTCTTCCCCAAAATGATCACTCATCTCTACTACAACACAGATGTATATTTTTATTTTTAAAAATCGATGTTGAAATTAAATTAAAATACTTTCTGCTCACCTTCAACCTAGATCATGGCTGCTACTCTGAATTTTATTCAAGAAAAAAAGAAAAGAAAGGAAAAGCAAAAATAGGATTAGTTCTCCAGACAACAAGAGAAAATAAAGGATTGAAAAGAATAGGAGCACAGAGACATGCCTGCTTATAGCCAAAAAAGAAGCCAGAATGTAGATTTAAAGCTACCAAAAACTTGAAACCTGGAACATATCTCCCTTTCTTTTTTGGTTTAATGGAGAAAAATATTGGCAAATGTATATTTTTAAAGTTATGTTTAACTATTTAGCCACATATGATTTAAAATGTTCCTCCCTCAGTCATGAGAATACATATGCTTTGTATAGCATAGATGATAGTAGTCTATAAAAGATAATGGAGGATCTTCTTTGAAGAATTTAGAGATTTATGATTAGTGCTAACAGTTTTACAAGCATCCCCCAAACCACTATTTATTGCCGCTCAGAATCATGAACATTGATAATTATTAAAGTTTTAAAAAAACAACCCACCTTAAAATGCTAAACGGCCTATGGAGTGTAAGAAAAAGAAACTTAACAAATCTACAAAAAAAATAATAGCCTGATCAAAACTCCAATTAAAACTCTCAACAAACGCATAGCAGTTAATGCTGTAACAGTAATAATTAAAACAAAAGAGAAGCATGCCAGCACACATTAGAGCATCATATTCCAGTTATACGAGTGCACAGAAATAGGAAAGAAACGTTGTACAACATCTTCAATCCTAAGGCAATGTTGATCCTCAAAACACTTTCCCATTAAAAATGATTATCAATTTACATAGAAACTCTAAAAGGTCAGAAATGGTGAACCCTAAAATCATAACCACACACCAAATAAAATACAACTCTGAAGAATTTTTTAAATTGCAACCTTCACCTCAGATCAACAATCTTTTACTATTAGAAAAAAGGAAAGGCTTTGGCTTCATTATTCATGTTGACTGTATAAGTTGGTTCATTTAAATTCAAGAACTCCATTCTTTAGCGAAATTAATTTCTATGAACAGGCTTAATATCAATTTTTTAAACTAACCTTTTGGAAGGAAAGTTACTTTTCTGGAAATACGTTTTATTCCAACAGAAGAACTTAAAACTGTTAAGCCATCACCCTACACACACAGAGTGATAAACCAATATAATACCAACAACAACCAACCTTTAAGAACTCAGTCTTTTAATTTGTTCTACTAGCATCACTCTAACAAAAAATGGAGAAATAGGAGGCCTAGAGCCACAGGTATGGAGGGAGATGAGTAAAATGATAATTGATTCTAAAAGAAAGGTCTGAATAGCCCGGAGGAACTGAAAGTAGTATTGGCCTTGGATGGAGTACTTTTGGAGAAGCAAAGAAACAAAAAAAAAAAAAAACTAAGGAATCTGGAAAGAAATACTTAATGGGATTAAACTCTAAAACAGGCTACTTACTCTGAATTAATTTCTAGTTTGGAAATTTTCCTATGCCAAGAATGACAAAGAATAAGACCATCAAACAGAACATAATTGTTTTCCTGGTCTGTTCATTGGCATATGATTGCTGTTCGAAACTTGTTTTTAGGAAATTAGTTAATGTGAAATTTTGTCTCTTTTTTCCCCAGGCCTTCACTAAGTAAAATAAAAATCAAGATTAAATGAATAAAAGAATATGTAATAAGTTAATTTCTGATGATGCACCTTAAGTAATTGCTTTGATATAAAAATGAATTCTAAAGAATATGCTATGCCTAAATAGTAATAATGAAATTTAAACTTGCTTTTCAATTGAAATTTCTTATTTTTTAAGGATGG